TGATGCTGCATGTTACAGGTCAATAGGTTTTGCTGGCCCGGGACCCAAAAGATTTACAATGCACTCCAATTCAGCCTCCATTCTTCACCAAAAGAAAAGTGTGCCCAGGAAACAAAAAACACCTAATTACATATCGGATTCTGCCCATTCAGAGATGCCTATTCGCATTAGGCTAATATTATCACAAGACCTCGGAGTTCAGCAAAATATTAGATAATTTGCGGGGGAATTTCTACTTTACTAATTACTGATACGACTGATTTGCATGGGATTAACAACACAATCTCTGCAACTGTGGTCCCTACGTAAAACTAATCCTGTAGGGCTTTAGAAATTACATTTGGTCAACAAAAGACAATGACATGTCTGAAGCAGTGATTCTCAAATTATTTAGATCAAAATCCACCTAAAAAAATACTAAGTAAATATTGTTACGAAAGCCAATAAAAACCAGTCCTTTGTACTATCAAAAGAAATAATTTTTTTCTTTATTTATTTATTGACTTTTATTAAAGCAGGCAAATTCCACTGAGATCACACTTTTGCCAGGGCGCCCTGGAGGAAGTCTATTGTACATGTTTTTGGTCTGTGGGAGGAAACCGGAGTACCTGGAGAAAACCCACACAAACACGAGAAGAACATGCATACTCTGTACAGAAAAACCCCAGGTCTGAACTGGGGATCGAACCCAGGACCTTCTTGTGAGGCATCTACCACTGATCCTTCTATCTTGTTCACTTGATAAACCTATTGTTTCAATAGACTTGGTATTTTTTTCTTGGGGTAAACATAATACATGGGATATTAACTGACCTGAGTCAACCAGAATCCAAACAGTTATGATCACTGAACTGAGGGATAAACCACTGAGATACAAAAAACACCACACCTAACATTGGTTGAGGGGTGGGTTAAAGGTGGGATCGTTTCAAGCATTCATTTTTTGACAGCAGCATCATACAGTATATACTGTGGTCCTGACACCTCCTTAATCTTACATCCATGCTGTTTTGCAACTTTGTTGCAGGTTCTACAATTGACTGGCAGTGATTATGTAGAACTTTAGTTATAGCATGCACTCCAGTTTCCACATGGATTCTTAGAATTTCATTTACTGCAGTTTTACTTCAACTTTTCATTTGAAGTCTAGATTGCAATTTGCTGCAACCACATTTTTGTTATTTCTGCTAGTTCGGTTGCTTACAGATAATTAGCTTGTTATTTAGCAAATTTCACTAATTTATTCAATTTCAGAAGATAAGTTCAGTTGTCTTGTTTTTAGCTATTTTTGGGATTGATTTATCATAAAATCTTCACCAGCAATTCGTAATTAGTTGTTACTAGAATTTCTTCTCAAAACCAGTAGAGGAATCATGCAATTTAAAGCTTGGAACTCCACACTCACCAGTTTTGAATTTAATAAGTTTCTGGAGAGGAACAAAACGTCCTCAACTACAGAAAAGAAGCCATCAAAAGGTTAATATTCTTTGTGGGCCAGACAAATTTTGCAATGTGGAGGTGTTTTGTTTTTTTATGTTGTTGTTGTTGTTTTTGTACGTTGTTGTTGTTTTTGTATGTTGTTGTTGTTGTTGTTGTTTATGTATGTATGTATGTATGTATGTTGTTGTTGTTGTTCACCACTAGAGGGAACACCACAAGTGGAATTGTACCAACGTTTGAGAACTATTGGGTTAAAAAGAATACAGACAGGAAAATCACTTGCTGTATGTTAATCATGAAAGTTTAGGAAAATTATCAACTGTCCATTCTCCTTTCCTTCAAAACAAAATCTACAGTATATTAGTCAGCCTCTTCAACATGTTCCTGGGAAATGACTAACAGCAGAACTATTTTGTCCAAACCCTTGTTGTACTCCACATTACCCATTCCTCTGTTTTGGGGGTTTGGTCTATTTATGGAATAATATCTCTTTTACTGCTGCAACACATTTGTTATTCTTCACCAGTTTTACATAGCAATCCATTTACAACTAAGCACCTAATGCTGACTTGCACACTGTCATGCCATGAAAACAAATAAGCTGTCTCTGAATGTGTATTTTTGCAGATGCTAAACCTTTGTATGATAGATGAAGGCAAAGGCAAATAGGCAGATGGAGGTACTGTATGAGCACAGGTTTTGTGTTTTCAGCAGTGGCACTTATTTCACTTTGCTGTTAAAATGTTCACTTGGTTTGCTTGCATCCCAGTTTTTGAAATGTAGACTGCAATATTCTGACTCTCATAATAAAATACAAGACGTGATTTCCCAACCAGTCAGCTGTAAAAGATATAGCACGGCAGCTAAGGTCATCTCAGTTTGTTTATGGTGAAACAGTGTTGGCCAGAAGTAGAAACAGCAGCAGGAGATTTTACTTAAGCTGCCAAATCACAACAAAATCTTCTCATAGACAGAATGAGTTAACACACTCACTGTCTTTCTCATTTTTCATCTCCTTTGTTAAAAAGGCCGAACTCTGACTTTTAGCTCCATGATTTAAGAACGGCCAGTGTGAGTCACAACATTAAAATGACATCCCACCACAATAAAAGAAACAGAGCTGCTATACATTTTAGCTGTTCATTTCAATCACACAATGTATGCAGTGGGCATAACTTTGTAGATGAAAACACAGAAGAGCCCAGAGGCATGTCTGGGATGTGACTTTGTTTAATTGCCTATGGTGCCATGTGTGGGCAAAGTTTAACCACCCCCTCAAGCAAATCTAGTCATTCCAAAATTGTAAACCTTATGTTTATACATACACTGCATTTTTCTCTCTGCCGGAAAATAAAAAAAGCCATATGCAAAGTCAAACGTTTCCTTTAATATTTAAGCCAGTGTGTTTTGAAAGAAAAAATTTTTTGTGGCATGCCTTATATTAAAATATTTTTCTTTTTCCTATTGCTCATTATACAGATATGCAGGAACTGAAAAAGAAAGTGTTAAAAGAGAAAAGTAGACGTGCAGAACTAAAATCTTCCAGGATGTAATTGACTTGACTGACAGCCATTTAATTAAGCAACCTACCAAAAATAGCTCACTTTGAGGACAACAGATGAAAACAATAAAAATAACAAAAAAAATAATAATAAAACATCTGTGGAAACTCTGCCTTATAAAACACCAGGCATCAAAGGTGAGAAAAAAATCTGGTTGAATGTTTGCAGTGTATTACTAGAATTTGCAGTGTACCTAATTTCCCTCTGGGATCAATAAAGTATTTTTGAATTGAATTGAATTGTATTATTTATGACCAAAAACATGCACAAGAGGTTGCCTTCAGGCCCTACCCCACTGTAAAAGAGATACGTGATCTCAATGGGATTTGTCTCATTAAATAAAGGTAAAATATAAATAAGTTGTAATAAAACTCTTACTGGACTGTAGCAACTGGCCAAAGTAAAATATGAAAACAATTAATGGACAGCAGATGTCAGTAGTGCACTACTGTGACCATATGCACACATCAGGCACACATCAGACACACATCTTCAGTTAGACAACCAAGCTTTACATGTTTACTCATATTGTCATTATCAGTTCAATATACAGGTTTTTTACAGCTGCAAATAATAAGAAGAAATAAAAGGTGTGTTTAATTGAAAATAAGGCAATTTTGTTGCATTTGTGAGCAATTTTTTTTTTCTCACAGCAAAAAGACAATTATTTTTCTTATGAGTAACAGAGAATGAAGAAGCCAGACTGGTAATAGAAACCAGATCTGCCGTCACGTGTGGATCCTAACAAACACACCCATAAAGCTATGAACGACTATTCCAACTTCCTGACTCAGTCTGCTGCTGACGCCCACAACAGACAACGCCCATGCAGCTCATCACAAAACCTCTGAAAGTGAAAAAGAAATATTCAAATATTTATGAAAATAACTTTTTCCCCTTTTAAAATCTGTAAAGTATTACATATAATCTTAGTGCATGTGTAACTTCAGCTAAACCAACAGAACTGTGTGGCATCTGACAAGAAACTTTCTGTAACTTTCACTTCTGCAGTCTAGCAAAGGCAGATATAAAATGTTATCTCACTGCCTTCATAAATCCCATACTCTGCATTCACAATAACATAATGGTATGCAGGCAGTACACTTATCTCTAATAAATAACAGACTGAGTAAAGAAGAAAAACAACCACAGAATGTGAACCGAAGCCAAGAACACAGTAATACTGAAGCAAAGATCCCAAAAGCACCACACCTTCCTCCCTGTTTGATTGGGCTGTAAAGTCATGCACAACTGCCTCTGCAGAGAACTAGTAAGGCTGAATTTCAACAAATAGCCCCACCTTGTTGGACTGATGCCTGCATAATCACTTTGGCAAATGCTCAGTGATATCTCCAGAGATTACTCTTCTAAGCAGAGCTTAACTTATTATCCAAGACAAATGGATTCTCCACCCAAAAAATGGAACTTTAAGGAATGTGATGGACTATAAAATGAAAAACACAACTACTGTGAAAAGCAGAAAACACAATAGACTTCATGTTAGTTTAATTCTGACATAAAACTGAGTTTTTAAATTGTAACTTTAACTCAGTGGAATCAAAGGAATGTTGTCTGTTTGAAAGGTTTCAAGATTACAACAGTACAACTGAGGCTTAATCTATTTCAACACCCACATGACTAAATCACAGCCACATGTCAATAGTCACTTCTCACCCTCATATTGAAGCAATTCCTAAAGAGGGACTGTCTCCACATCCCAAACCAAAGCCTCTGTAATGTGCATCTCTCACACAAACTGTATTTAAATCATCCTAAATAGCACTGAATAAATGTCAGACATTTTTATTGTGGGAATGCTGAACACAGTCTAAACAACAGAACACAGAGGTGTAAAGCAACAATAGTAGAGCTGTCATAAAATGCTCTACCTGAGCTTCCACAGTTCAAAGTGGAAATCTAAGTGAAGAAGCAACTGCATCACGTGCACACAGCGATTAAGGCCAGGCAGGAAGTAGGTCAGTTAACGTTTAAACAAACCTTCAATGAAGTTAGGCCACGTCTTCTCCTCTGGCTCCCCCAGTGAGTGGTCCCACGCAGTCTCAGGTGAGGCTCCCTGCACCTTGAGCCCTGCTGCCCCTGACAACAGAGCTCGCTCTAAAGCGATTTCTTCCAGAACATCCAGGTCCAGTTCATCTTCCTCTGCCTCAGTCTGCACAGGTGGAGGGACGGGCTGCTCACCGGAAACCTGAGGGCTGAGGACTTGCTTTACTTCAACTATCTCCTCTACCACCACTATTTTCTTCCTCATGGTGGCCTCGTTTGTGTCAGGTATATTGGAATCAAAGGTATCTGCCAGGTGAGGCTGGTCAGGCTGGGCTACAGGTGTGGTAGTAGCAGAGGGTGTGTCCTCTTTCAAGTCCCTCTTCTTGTCTTCCTCGTGCTTAGAGGCCTCACAAACAGAGAGCTTTTCCTGTGTGCTGCACTCTGCTGCCTGACTGGCCGAATGTTGTGCAACTCTGGGAGGCTCCTCTTGCTTGACAAAAGGGCTGGCCTGTGCCGCAGCTGCCTCTGCTGGTGATGCTGACGCTAATTCTGCGAGTGCACTCCTCACATTGGAAGAAGTTTCTGGTTTTGGAACCTCCCGCTTGTTTTTTTCTGCAGAGAGCTGTACTAACTCCTCCTCTCCTTTGTCTGTCGGGGCCTCAGAGAGCACAGCTGCTGCCTGACTGACTTCCTCACTGCACATTCCTTCAGGAATCATCTTTGAAGGAACTTTAGTGTCTGTCAGTTCAGAGGCCATGACAGGGCTTTCTTTATCTGCATCCCTAGGTAGTGTTGTTATGTTAGAGGTTGGAAGTGTTTCTGTTGCAGGTTTTGTGTTTAGAGCTTCTGATTCTGGTGTCTGCTTAACTTTTCTTTTACTTTTTCCTTTCTTCTTTCCCCTTGATATTTCCTCTGTAGCCTTTTCATTCTTTACACGATATTCAGACTCCGTTTCGTCAGATACTGATAGTAACTTTGGTGTTTTGTCTTCAGGTTTAAGACTTGGTTTCAGGAGCTCAACTTGACCTGTTTTCTGCATAATCACTGTTTCCTTTCTGACAGTTACTTCCTCTGATTTCACTAGTCCCACAAGAGGAATAGACTTTAACTTGCCTTTGGGACTTAATTGCTCCTGTATGATATTGCTTTCAGTTCTCTTTTCTTGTACATATTCAGCAGATGATGGTGTCTCACCTAATTGTGAAGATGCTTCTTTGGCTACAGATTTATTTATTTTTAATGACACCTCCTCTTTCAGCATTTCATCAGTTTGTTTGGAGATTTCTTTGTGGTGTTTCTTGTTATCATCTACTTTAGCATCAACCTTTTCTTCCCCAGATGTCTTCATGGAGGTAGACATATGCTCAGAGGTAATAACGGGTGTTGGTGGGATGGCATCTTTAGCTACTCCCACCAAAGACATGCCTTGAGAGGTTTCTTCCTTTTCCATCTTTGACTGAGGCAGTTGTTCAGTATTAGCGCTCTTGGATTTTTCACTTGAAGACTTCTTTTTCTTTCTCTTTGTTTTAGAGGTTCCTTCACTTCCTTGTTTTGTGTCATTAACTGCCTCTGTGACAGCAGCATTTTGAGTGGACAAAGAAGATTGGATGGTTTCCTGTACCTGTTTTACTGAGACTTCAGTGACCACTTCTGGAAGAACAGTTTCATCTCTTTCAGCATGTGGAATCCCCTTTACACTAATTTCTTCCTGTTTTGTGATCATCTTGATTTCTCTAAGTGTCTCTGTCACAGGTTGAGGGACTTCAGACCTGTCCTGAGGGGCTGAGACAGGTAGAGTCTCAGGGGTAGATTTAGCATCAGTCGTTGAGGATGTCATTTTGAAACGAACTTCAGCAGTTTCAGGCTTTCCAGTCAGATTTGGTGAGATGACTTCAGCTTGAACTGGTTTTTGATTCACTTTAATGTTGGCAATACCATCCAACACATTAGCAATATCCACTGGCTTGCTAGTGCTGCTCTCAAGCTTAAGTTCATTACTCTTTTGATTTACGATGGCATTTTTATCTGTAATGTCACTATTGTTTTTAGATTTCACTTGGACATGTGTCTTCATTTCAATGAATTTTCCTGAAACCTGATGAAGCACTTCTTTCTTTAGCTGCCCATCTTCAATATCAGCAGGTTTATTATCAACTGGAGTGACAGGGCTAGTTAAACCTTTGAAGGATTCCTGAGCAGTTTCCTTTTTAGGAACAGGTTTAGGTTTTGCAATTTTTTTTGCTGTTTTACCTGAGATAAAGATCTCTGCAAGTTTTGATTCCTCTTCGTTCACTTCTACATTACAAAGCACAGTGATGGGTGAACTGTGTGTAATCTCTTCACTAACATTCAAGGAAGCTTTTTCATCAGCAGTCTCAGGCTTTTCTTTATTCTTTATCTGTTTATTTGTTTCAGTACTGCTTGTAAGCTTTGATGTTGCAGCACCTGCTGCCACACCAACAGCAGTCACAGGTAATATTAAGGCTGCTGAGGTAGAGATCAGAGTGGTCTGGGAGCCATCCTGTTTCAAAGCCTCTGTCTGAACAGGATCAGAACCTGGAGCCTTCTTCTTTTCAGCTTCCAACACTCTTCTCTCCTTTGATGCACCTGGATTTTCTTTTATCATGCTAGGCTTCTGGAGATTGACTTTTTCTACTACTTTCTCCTCAGTGGCCATCAACTCATGGTTGGAGTTAGCCCCTCTCCTGTAAAGAGGTCGATGTTGATTCTCAAACTCCACTTCTGGTTTTGGCCTAGTTGGTTCTGCACTCAGTGGACAACCCCTGAATCTCGGGGTTCGATCAGAGTATCTCTCCTGGTCTCCAACACCCATCATCTTATGGCGGTAGCCATGGCGCTCAGCTAGTGCTTCCAGGCTCTCAACTTCATCCCTGCGGCCTGGCTTGGGAACGTAAGATGTAGGACCTTGTACAGATTGGACCCGAGCAGCACGATGGGGAACAGCCAGACTGGCAGCTGGCCTCCTAATCCTCTGCAGTGAAGCTGGAACAATCTCAGTGGGAAGATGGAGGTAGTCGCGCAGGTAAACAATGCCATCATTGGTCAAGTACCAGTAGAAATGTCTCCAAGCAAATGTTTCCTTCACATAACCTCTTGATTTAAGAGAGCCCATTGCACGGATTACTTGCAGGTTGCTCACACTTTGTATTTCAGGGTGCTTTATCTGGGGCCTTTTGTCTTTCTTGGCCACCAATACACCATCTCGAAACAAGACTTCATAGATGACTTTTAGGTCCCTCATGGGCATTAGCATGCCAGCAACCATTGTGCCTTAAGTCAGTAAACTTTCTCAAAACAAAAAAAATAATAAGATAAGACTAAGCAAAGTGAATGGCTCAAGTCTTAGGTATTACGGTATGAAGGAATCCAGTAAATCCAGCTGTAAATTGATTCTCAATGAAGAAAAAATTCTAAAGAGCAAAGTTGTATTTTTCTTACTGTCTTTTCCTTGTGTTCTTGCTGATCCTTTAGTTGTGAAGAAAATGAAAACTCCTCTTACAAAGGTAAGATGTGTGCTGTGTCCCTTCTACATTTAGTGAGGCAGGGAGTGAGCAGTCTGTTCAGCCGAGATGGCAATGACAGAATGGAAGCAAAAGCAGCGTGTATGAAAGAGTGAGGGAGGGAGTGTGGCACACTTCTCAGTCAGGCTCCACCTCCCCTGTGTCTGTTATTCATCGGAAAAAAAAAATTAAACGATGGAAAAAAAAACATCTCCCTAAAAAAGGGGTAGAGAAGGATTAAAAAAAGTTTTTAAAAAGTTTACATAAACTTGAGCAAGTAGATACAAAGCCAAAAGAGTTTGTACAAGCCATGTTCTATTGCTCTGACTTTTACAGAGACACTGACCCACCCAAGAAGGTACACGCCCCTTAATTCAATACACACCTCTAAAAGTTCACTACTAACACAGACCTGGTGAGTCAAACCACAGTCTATTACAAGTACTAAACACATACTGATAAGAAAAGGAGATGAGCAGTTGACATAAATCTGTCCTCTCCTGGTGTGACTAACTGTATGTACAAGCAGGAATGCAAGGTGTCCAGTTTTACATGCATCAGATCAGGTATCAAAAAAACCTTTAGTCTAGATACAAGGTGCCGTTTTCATAGTTTAAACTTTAAACAATTTATAAAAAAAATCTATACACATGAATTTAGTTTACCCTAGAGGATGTAAAAAAATAAAATGTATTTTAACTCAAACAAATGTAGCTAACAAGCTAACATTTACTTTACTTCTATTTATATTTTTTGAGGGTCTTGAACCATCAGGAAAGAAGGTGACATACTCTATGTCACTATGCAGCTCATTTAAGTGATGCAACAGGCTGTAAAGGCAGCTAAAGTTGTGCTGCTGCTTCACACAGCTAACATTAGCTTCTGCTTGAGAACCAAGAATCTGTGTTTCACAACTATATAAAGATCTGTGCATTATAGTGTGTCTTTTCAGCCCTCCCCAGAACATGAGATCAGATTTCCTTCCTTGGATCACTTTTCTCTTCTGTCCATCTGTCTCCTGTTCGTCTCTTACTGTCAGAGAAAGTGTCCTCTCACTGTCAGGAGGACTGGAAATGTCGGTTAAAGCAGAGGAGCACATGTTCACTCGTCCTACAGACCAGACAAGGACAGAACACTGAACTCAAACTCAGGGATTTACAAGCTAACTTATATTGGCAGGGAATAACGAAGGAATACTGTGTTCCCTCTGCTGCAGTTCGAAACCACACCATAACACAGCTAAATAGTGTTTTGCTTTTATTTGCCATGACAACAGTCAAATCAACTGAGCCAAGTCTGCGAGAGGGGGAGACATATCCGCTTTTCAACCAATGATGGTGAAGCAAGAAACAGCTGAACTAACTGGCATTAATCACATCCCTATTTTATAACAAACTGTTATTTGTAACTAAGTGTTAACATGTGGTTATACTTTCTTTTACAAGCATTACATTCAAAATTGCTGTAACTTTATTATACAAAGCAAAGTATTTAACTGGTGCATTGGGATTAAGGTTTAAAAACGAACTTGAAGAAGTCAGAAATTAAATATTTTAGTAATGTCTTTAAAAAATTCTGGTTATGCATTTGTGTTGACAGTTTCTTTGTTACACTTTGAATTGATGCCCTTGGCTATTTGCATAAACACTCCACCCACAGCACGTCTGAATAAGACTTACAGCAGTCTATGTGAAAACAGTGCAGAGGGCTGGGATTCAAGGATGAAAAGGGATTTTGTGGGTTCATTGGACACAAAAGACATTCTGTATTACAAAACAAGTGTTTAATGATTGACGTGGGATTTTGCCTAACAATATTAAAGACACTGTTGGTCACATTACGTTAAACTAAAATGTGACTGTTAGTACTTAAAATCATATTTGGGTAATTCTGAATCACTATTACAATCTTTTTTTTTTTTGTTTGTTTGTTTGTTTGGAAACTAAAATAATATGCATCAGACATTTCAAAAGCAAACGGACAACCAACACATTCCTGAGCCTGAAACTACCCTGCAGCACCAAAGCAAGAAAGCCCACAGTAATACCACATCAAATTTTAGCTCGAGTTATGGAGTCTTTTGTTATGGCTAAGGTTTCTCAATCGCAGTGACCATCCTGAATTGGATTGACTCCACAAGTTAAATTTAAATACAATCAGAGTTATTTTAAAAAGTATTTTTTTACAGTTTCATTAAAATCTGTGCAACGGTTCAAGAGGAATTTTGCTAAAAAACCCACTTAACTCCCCACCACCACATCCACGCATATCACTCATCTTGTAGCATTGGTTGATAATTAACTCATTTACAGGCTAAAGGGCTCGACACACGGGCAGCGACAAACTACAGCGATTGACGGCTGTCATCGCAGCCAGGGTGAAACCCGACACACGGGACGCGATAGCGATCTCAGCGTTGCGAATCGCGCTCTCCGGTCGCTTGTCTTCACAAATTTTGATTGGTTCTTGACTCTGAAGGCGGGTATGCATTACGGATGTGTAAACTAAAGAAATCTTGCGATGCTAATGATATTGAAAAACAAACACACATCAAGATACAGTTTTATGAGGAAAAACTTACCATAAACATCACCCTGGTACCAATAAATTCCCACAAAGCTTTTCAGTAATCCCTTGGTGAAAGTGTTAGCTAATGGAAGTGTAGCATACTCTCCACTCATTGGTCAGTCAATGAAACCCTCGCTGATTGGTTGTACGATAAGCGACAGCGACAAAAGTTGAACATTTTTCAACTTTCATATGTCGCGTCGCAAGCTGGCGTGTGCACGTCTACGTGTGCGAGCGCAAAATTTCACATGCACTATTTTCGCCGGTCGCTTAGCTGGAGGAGGGCAAGCGATTGTCGCCTCACCGCACAGGCTCCATAGGAAATGAATGGAGAGCGAGCGACGTCGCCTCCTGTGTGTCGAGCCCTTTATATGTGTATCATCACAATCTTTATCACCATGTGCAATACATCTTTTTACACAAACATAAACACTGGATACATTTTCAACCAAGAGTCTTCACTACCAAACAAAACAGCCATCCTAGCCCATAGGTTGTCCAGTGCAATCACATTAAAGTGACTGAGCTTTTGCTTTGTTTTTCTTTTTAATTATATATTGTTTAAACATGTTCTTAAATTGATGGATGATAAGACTGTATTACATCAAAACTCTAATGAATAGTCCGCTGTTCATTCATTAGACCCATTTCATTCTGTTAAGAGTTATTGGGTCCTAATTATAACCATCAATATGGATGATGTTAATTCAACATAATTTTATTTTGATTGAAAGAAACTGCTCATAGAAACCCAAAAATCATGAGCACAAAGCTGTATAGTTGACTGAAACAGATAAAAGAAGAAACCTTGTATCTGAGCTATTTCCTGGTTAGGAGTCTGCTTCTGCTGTTTCAGACCTTCCCAAGTCCCAGAATAGACTTGTCACCACCAGCTGATGGCGGTTTGTAGCTGGAAACTGGCCCAGTGTAAAAACCCACCACTTGGGGAGTTGTTGGTGTTACACATGTGCCCTCCATCTTGATACCAGATATAGACCACTCATGTCTCTTACAGTAAAAGCAAAGGTCAGCAGAATATTTGCACCTATCTATATCAAATCATGTTTCCTACAAAAAGCGTTTTTTATCTGCAAAGAACTTATTTTCATCTAATTCCAAAGAAATAACTACAAAACAAAACTTTAAATAATGTACAACTATAAATAACAAATGTTTATGTATGCTTTTCTCAGCTCTGGAATGAGCTTTTCTTCTTGTCACCATCCAGTGTTGCCAGATGGGAAATGTTGAATTATCGTATCAGCAGCTCAAAATTATCGTATTTTGAAGAAAATTATCGTACACACCCAAGTTACATTCTAGAGAGGCTCAAATTTACAAATACATCCTGCTCAGCTCACAATGTGCTCTATATTCAACAAACTGCACGTTCTTTTGTTTATAATACAGTTAAAAAGCACTGCTGGGTGTCTGTTTTTTTTTTTTTTTTTTTTTACAAAAGCTTTGTTGTAAACAAGAACAAAACATGGAGTCTGGGGAAATGCTGCATATAAAAAGAAACGTTAGATAAAATGACTAGAATAAAATGTAAATTATAGGCAAAGTTAAAATGAAATCAGGAAAATAACAAATCATTGTAGTTTATTGTACTTTTGATTAGTCAAGAAATAAATTGAGTACATACTGAGCAAATTTAATCTGCAAGCCTCCAAAATCTGTTTTTTTTTTCTTTTAAAAATAGCTTCTGGATGACACCTGGATGTTTATTAAATGTAAATGTTGCTTATACCCCTCACCTTCTCAGTCCCACCTTTTATTTTTGATTTTACAGTTATTATTTCTTTCACATAAGTACTATTATTATATTTATATTTTATTATATTTTATTATAATTATATTTATCTTTGCTGCTACTAGTTGCCATCATAACCCCAATGTGGGAGGGGGTGTTCTCCCCCAGAAAGTTTTGAATGAAGTAGGTGCTGTTTCCTGCATTCTGGTGTATTTGCATGTTGTTAAACATATTTTAAACTACATAAATGAACACTTTTATAACTGTTTTAGAGACGGATTCTACATTCAACTCAATATACAGTATGAATCATACTTTTTGTGTCTCATTGGACATTTGATTCTTTGACCAGCTGGTAGGAAGTAGAGTTTTAAAAGGGTTAAAAAAAACACTGGTGACTGTGTCGTGGCAGCCAGCAGTAGTAGGCTTCATCAAGAGAATAAAAAATAGTTTCTTCTGTTGCTCCTTTTTTAAAAATATATATAAATTAATATATATATATTTTTTATTTTACTGTCACAGCTCTAACCCTCCTTTCTATTAGCTAGAGACCGGCAAAGGGATCTATTTTTAGCCATAGAAATGTTTTTATTAACATCCCATCATGGATCAGTCAGCAGCAGCAGTATTCATTTCATGTCTGGATGGGATGGATATCCACCTGCAGCAGGGGGAGACGCAG